TCTGTGTTGACCATAGAGGTTCGCTTTCTTTTCCCGTCCCTAAAAATAGGCCCAATCCCTGTCCTCCTTACACATTCTCATATATCTTGCATGAATTATGAGTTTGGAAGCGATCAGTGAAGTTCGCTTCACTGTATTGAGCTGTACAATGATGATGATGATACTGAAAGATTATCAAACGTGAATATGAATCTGTACGAAATTTAATCTCTTCCTTTCACCACTGCGCTTGCATCAGGTAGCAAATCGTACAACCTATTGCACAACGAGGAGACCATCATGAAAGAGATCATGATCAACGGACCGGTGGAAGCAGTTTTCAACGTATACGAGGATTTTGTCAACTACGCATTCGGCATTTATCAACACACCACCGGGAAGTTGCTTGGTGGTCATGCGGTGCGCCTTTTGGGTTGGGGCGAAACCGGCGGTGAGAAGTACTGGCTGGCGGCCAATTCATGGAACGACCATTGGGGAATGTGGGGCTTCTTTCAAATTGCCCGCGGTAAAAACGAGTGCGGTATCGAATCCGGTGTAACCGCCGGAATTCCGAGGAAAAAAACTCATGAATTGTACGAAAAACATACTTAATTGTTTAATCATTGGAATAACAGTATTTTACCTCTAATCAACGGTGCACGTGCACAACAATACTGTGAGTCTGACAGGGACAAACCGAAGTGATGCTGAATATGATCATATTGCCTCAAAAAGTTCGTTTTCTAAAACGTTTTCAAAGGAAAACGAAGTTTTCTATTCGTGGTAAAAATGACCAGCGGAGACAAGTAAAATGCATTAATATATAGAGAGATTCTGTTACTGTCAACGAACGGCAATCATGTAGGACAGGGATGAACTGGCATACTGTATTGCATAAGGTATTTCGTTAATTATGAACTAATACGAACTGCCTCGTGACACTCAAGGACGCTCAAATTCAAACGGTGGCACAAGAGAACCAAGAACGTTGTAGTGGGATATAAAGTTCGGTATTAATTCTTTTCACCCATAGGTACCGATACACACGTATGATACTGGAAACTTACGTTTGGTAGCACATGAAAGTCATGTTTTACGAGAGTTCTATAAAAAATGTATAGACATGGCCTAAAGTTAACCCGAATGAAAAGAGACAAAAAGTTTTACTCAAAACCAGAGACTGATCTTTCTTCCTGAAACCCTCCGGGATCAGGGGTTATTTTTGCACGTATCACACAGCTCTAATAGGAAAACCACTACGGTGCCGCATCGTAGGGTCGATGGTATCCAAAAGCCTCGTTATCTTCGAGAATGGTGTCTCGGATTGCGACTGGTCACACTTCCCTTGCACCTCATGCTCCGATACGACCAAGCGTATCAAACAACCTCCGCTGAGGAAGACCTAAACAATACCTTCCAATGGCGATGTTTTGACGCCGAAGTGAGAGCAATAAAAGCCAACATCCGGGACTATAACTGGGTCAGGGAACCACTGGTACTTCACCGAGAGGAGTTGTCAAAATCTCTGATGCCAAACCAACCAAGAAGAGGTGTACGCACTATACATACACACGTTCCTGCTTGTGGTAGTGGTCACCGGCTCGATTTACGCTCGAGGTGTATTGAGTACCTTAAACTTTTGACTCCGTCCAAATCGCGTATGATCAGATGAACTGGTCACCGGCCCCCACTGGATTGCGGTTTTCAAACACTGCCTCTCTTCCTTGCGGGCCAGACTGACCAGTTCAGGGCTCTGGTTGTGAATTTCCCAAGAAAATCCACCATCCTTGACCTGGGCAACTTGGCAGTATTCCACCACAAGCAAATCATGGAACTATCTCTTTTATATAAAAATTTGTTTGGCACTCAATCTGGAGGGTTGACATTTCGCTTCAGGAGATTCCCATGCTTCTCAAGAAAGTAGTGGGCTGCACGAATAGGGAAATCAATAATATACAATCAAATTGGAATGCAAAATTTTGACCGATAAATGAGCTGCACATTTTCAATTCACATCACAAGAAACCGAAACTCATCAAGGTGTGTAACTGCTATTCCGAACCATGTTACGGAATCCCGGTTCTAATGTATGGTTTTTGATTCCTCACCACCTCAGACATTATTCACCTGTCCTTCATCTGCGCGGTAGATCAAGTTGAATCGGTCGAACAGGAGCGACTCTGTCTGTGGGTTAAAACGCTTACGGATGAACCGAGGAGAAGACCGAGAACGTTCAAACGTTTCTACCTGAGAAACTTCTCAGGGTAAATTAGGGAAAATCAAACAAACCATGAATGTTCAAATATAGTGAATGGTTTTTCAACATTCCTCGCATCCACCTTGCTATCCATCCATTGAGCGTTTGTTACGCCGCTCGCCACAACCACGGAAGTTCTTGGTCGTGAACAAAGACAATGAAATTCGGAAGCAGCTAATCGATGGTTTTTATCCACAACACATCCAGAAACGTGAATATTCAGCAACCGAATCGTCGATCAAACGCAAATAAGTGATATTCATTAATACTACTTAGACATGTCCTAAGTCAAACACGCCGTCGAATGTTAACTAGTTTAGTAGAGTATTAGGTTCAGATGCTATTTATTCACAGTGCTGCCGAAAGACTGGTGTAGTGAGTACAGCATTTTTTAATTAAACTCTCGTTCAAGTGATACTGTATCTGCTTTCGTTTGTGTCAAATTTGGTCGAAATCCCCTTTGGATTTCAGTCATCTGCTCGTGAGTGAATATCGGTCGAACATCCAACCTTACACGCACGACCGGCCCCGTTCGATTTTGCGGTTTATTGGCTGGTTGCGTAAGCATCAGCTCTAACCGCAGTCATCTTCTCGGAGGCATACACGCACCCGGTGACCAACAGAACACAACCATCGCGCAACCGTAGCATTGCAATCTTTGTTCCCGTCCCAATCGAATACGGACCGGGTGCGATTAACCCGTCCAGAGCCTTAATTTGGTTGGAAAAACAATTTGAACGTCATATCGAAACATTCGATTGACATCAATGCGTCTGGTTTGCACGCGTTTTTTTTTCTCGGCCTAGGCATAGTGTTTCTCATTTTGCGATTCGAACGTTCAAACGCAGTTTTTATTGTATCAAACCCAGTACATAGAGTAGGCTGTGTTGTCATGATCTAACTCGTTTAGGCCTCGTCAGGGACGCATTACGCGGATCTTTCATCTGAAATCATGATAAGACTAAAGCTCGAACGTACCACTTCTGTTTACACATGCAGGAACTACTTCAGCCGATAAATCGTGTACACGTTTTCAACGTGTTGTGTCACACCTAGTGGGGATACAGCTCCAGGTGAAGCAGTAACCTACTGATTGCCACACACACACACACGCACCTCTCGTTGTTTAGTTTCCAAAATATATCACCCATCCCGTGGCATGAACGCACAAATCGTTCCTCCGACCACTCATCAGTCGCATAATATCTGTATTCAATATGCAAGCAACCGAACTTTGATCCTCCCAATTATTTCGCATGAATGAAACCAGTCGGTTCATCAACTGGGTCCACGCGTTTCACGATGGGTGCACCCGTGTTGCTCTATATTCTTTTTTGTATTCCGGGCTGGATGCGACACAACCCGAGCGGGTTTTCGCTGGTTTGTCGCGATGAACTGATTAACTAAACAAAACTCGGAACCTGAAGTCGTCGGATAACCTTTCGTTAACCGTATAAGAGAGCACGGAAAGCCTCATGCACATTGACTGCGTGGTTAGACCCAATCAAATGGTCCTCCATTGCCGTCGACCCGGTCCTTGTCAATCCCTGATTCAAACAGCCAAGGCGATCTCCATTCACAACTCTGTCCCCTTGGGCGCCCAGAAACAGAACACGACGTACACTGATTTGATGCTGAGTTAGACATTTCCTATTTCGTAAATACAGTTTTCCGTTACAATTCTAATTGGTGAGCATCAATTTACCTCCACTTTTGCAGTGCGATATTCGAACATAAACTGACGCGAGAGGCATAACGGAAAAAGAATCTGGCGTTTCTTCACGCTACCAGTATTGTTCCCTGTTCTCGAAAATTAGCAAGAAATCCCCGAGTGCAACGAAATTCCAAGGAACTCAATAAAGACCGTTCATCACTATTTGTTTATTCAATTCGAGTTGGGTACATGGTGGTGAAGGTGACAAGATAGGTGCATGCATAGCAGTGAACTAGTTTGAATACTCAGACTGAGGCACCATTTTATTGAGTGTCGCCGTAACTTCTACTGTCTCGTGCTTGAGCTTTCAGGTGCTCGAACAGTGGCATCTTTCTTCTCCTCCAACTCTGCCATTATATCCGTCAACCTGAAAAACAGTGACTTGATTTCACCAATTCTACCCATCCGAAATGCATAAAATGGAAGTAAAAGGTGGTTGCACTCAAACAGCTTAGGTCATTTTCACTGACGCACAGCAAATCCTGAAACCACAGATTCGAAATCCCTTCGCTGCCACCGACATTACGTCTGGACATCCCTGCCACTTCGTAACTGAGGACAACGCCTATGAATATAGAGAACTAGTTTGTAGCAATAAGTTGTCGGTTCATTGTAACAAGCAGCCAGATTCCGTGACTGTTATTTACTCATGCTACTACTGATCACCTTGAGGTATGCGAGAATATTCATGAATCCTTCGAAATGTAGGATTATATAATTTCTGAGAACGGATTTTCTAGATCATTCTGCCAGTTTTGCCAATGCCGTTGTTCGAGTTAGTGGGGATTAATACAAGCAAAGGAACTGCACAAGAACACCATTCAAGCTTTGATTCTAGACGAGATTAGATGTATCAGATTCCTGACCCATTATCTACGGGCGTAATCAGTACAGTGGGACCAGAGAGAGAAGGTAGACGAATAGCGAGCGATGCTGTGTTTATTCAAGTGATTAGTTCCAAACTAACCCGTTCGTCCATCCGTATCGTCTTGAGCAAAGGTCACCTACACGTTGCAGAATGCCACTGGACTATGACGCATCAATCATATCTAAATTACTATCCTACTTGGCATCGTGCAACTCACGGAACTGCTCAAACAGATCAGTGCGAGAAAGACAGGGAAATATATGCCGAATGCAGGTAGGCTATTGCAAACAAATCACGAAAATAAAAGAGATTTCATTTTATTTGTTCTCGCCTTCGATGACTACGGTCCCGCTTCCAACGGATCTACAGTCCGACAAATCATTCGTTCTCGAATTGGGGTTATTAATCCACATCCCGCGGAACACTATCTTCTTCAGTCAGGAACGATACGGCCAATAGTTCAACTCTGTTTTGAATGTTTTAGTTTTTATAGAACAGGGTGCGGAATTCCGCGGCCTCCGCGGCCATTGCCTCCTCGGTTCGATAGACTCGATTAGGCAGTTGGTCATGCTCTTGTAGCTGGAGTGAAAGAGGGAGAAACGGAGAGGGAGAGATAAGTTCACCCGATCGATTTGTGACAAATCCAATTGAGAAACGTTATCAAATGTGAAATGAAAACGGAAACGTAATCAACCTATTACCGTTCACAGTAGTGATGGTAATTTCGTTGTTTACAATGTACCTATGGGTTGTGGTCGGTAGTCCAGTGAAACGTGTACCGCACATCACCTGATAGACCGTTGCGGCCTGCTACCACACGCACGTCATGCGGACTTACTCTGTTAAGAGGTTGATCCACCTCAGCGAATCAGAGGTCAGTATTGACCTGTTTGCATTGATTGATTTGTTGACTGCCCAGCGTGACGACATACTCCTTTGGGTAACGCTTGCGTCAATTAGTGCATGCCTGCCTGCGTGTTGACGCATTGCTTGCTCACCGGCCTACGAACCGGCTACATTTGCATTAACATACTGGAAATAGAATAACTACTTAATTCACTGCGTGCGTACTTAATAACTTATACGGGATACAGCACTACGAGTACCGGTAGAGATTATCAACACTGCTGCAACGCTTCACAGATGAATACGAGCAACACAATGAAAAATTAGCGGTCAGTCTGAAGCCAATACTGGGAAGTTGCACACGTCTGAGCCCTCGCTTCCCGCCACACATAAAGATGAACTTCAGAAAGTGTTCCACTTGATCTTTTCGAATTCTGTTTCATGTTCGTTCCTCCCCAAACATTTTGCTGATTTAGGGGAGGCACATCACCCGCGTTCTCAGTTATGCCTGCTATTGCCCGGCTCATTACCACGCTCAACCTATTGAGGCCTTATGTGGTTTACCACTCCAAGTCTCAGGGTTGGGTTGTCGGTCTTCTCTCACACTACATATGATCAATACAACCTACGGAAATCAATCAATGCGCAGTCTACTTACACAATTACAACACTCAATAGCCATCACCAACATTTGTAGTTTAAATCGAAACATTACTTCTGTACATTACTTTTTCCAATTTTCCTTCCCCTTGGCCCTATTTTTGACGGAGACACAAATCTCCCCCTCGTTAGACCCTATTCACCTTCAGTTCCCTAATTACTTCCTCCATTCTGCTTTTCTTTCTAAAGCTGGTGTATACGCCTATATCCATCATGTTGTCGCTTCTTCCCGACTTTCACACTGGGACTTCTCTAACCGTCGATTTCAGTTTATGTGGCTGAAACTTTGATTTCCTTCTTTCAAACACTATTTTTATACTGTTTACCGCTCCCCAAGCAGTAGCGACTCTTCTATTTTTGATATTCTGTCTTCGAACATTGAGACACTAATGCAGCAGATCCTAACAGCCAAATCACCACTGTCGGAGATTTCAATGTACAAAACAAAGAATAGCTAAAGCACTCCTCAGACACTACCATCATGGGACGCGAAGCCGAGGCTTTTGCTGTGGTCAACAACCTAAGTCAACTAGTTGACCTCACCACACGCATCCCTGATCGTATTGGTGACCGCGCTCACACCCTTGACCTCATTCTCACATCCATTTTCTCTTCTTTCTCCAACATCACTTCCCTTTCCTCATTAGGCTCATCGGACTATTGTCTCATTTCTTTTCTCACTACACTTCACTACCAAACTACAGATGCAGCTTTTGGCGTTACGATTCAGCTGGGACAGTTTTCGTGAGTTTCTGGTCGGTTATCCCTGGAAGGATTGTTGTTTTAAATATGATTTTTCCACGTCTGTTTCAAACTTCAAGCAGATTGGTTTTCAAGGTACGTATCTTTATATTCTACCTATCATAACAACCAGAAAGGTCCGCCAAACTCTTCGTGGTTTGGATGTTTGTAAACCACCCGGTCCGGACGATATTCCACCTATAGTCCTAAAAATGTGCCCCGGAGTTAGCCTCCGTTCTATGCCGCCTTTTCTGTTATTCACTCGAACTTAAACCTTTCCTTACTCCATGGAAAAATGCCATTAGTTTTCCAATCCCAAAGCGCGGTGACCCTTTCGACCCCAACAACTACCGTTCCATTGCTCTCACATATGTAATTTCGAAAGTTTGAAACTATTATCTCCGACCAGCTGCGTACGTTTCTCCAACGCGAAGGTTTGTTAAATGCCCGTCAGTATGGATTTCGCCCTCGTCGATCTACGGGTGACTTACTGGCGCTCACATCACATTCCTGGTCGACTGCACTCGATAACCACTGAGAAACACACATGGTCTCGCTCGACATCTCGAAGGCCTTCACCCGCGTTTGGCATGAAGGTGTGCTATCGAAATTACCCATTTTGGACTCCACCCGTCTCTGGTATCGCGGCTTCGTTGTTTCCTCAGCAAGCGAACCATCTCCGTCCGAGTGGATGGGTTTCTATCTCGGCCATTTCCTGTGAACGCCGGTGTCCCCGAGGTTGCATACTTTCGCCCACTCTCTTTCTCCTATTTATCAATGATCTTTTATCCCAAACATCTAATCCCATCCACTGCTTTCCCAATTATGCCACTATCCCTTGTTCTTTTTCTTACCCCACACTCCGTCAAGCGACTATCAATATCGATCATGATCGTCACGCCATTAGTGCTTTTTTTGCCTCCGATCTCGGACTAATGTCCGCAGGGTGTTCTATCAACCATGTATGTTTTAATGCTTCCAAAACTTCTCTCCTCTCAGTTTCCCTTAAACGTGTCCTCTTTTCTCCTCATTTGATTCTTAACTCTCTGCCCCTTCTTTCTACAGATTCTCTCTTCCTCCTGGGTTTATCCATAAATTCTTCTCTTCGTTGATCCCCTTTTATTTCTACACGTGCCTCTCGCGCTGCGCGCAAAGTCGGTTTTCCATTCCGCGCAAAGCTTTTCTTTAAACTCAAACACCTTTCCCTTTGTATAGAGCTCAAATCCGCTCGATGTTCGAATACTGCAGCCACGTATGGGGTGAAGCTTTGTATTCCACTGTTTCTCTCCTCGATCGTGTTCAACGTTCAACGGCTGATCGACGAACCGTCTTTGACTTTCAACCCGCAGTCGCTTCCCCACCGCCGTGTAGTTGCTTCAGTATCTCTTTTCTATTGTTACTATTTTGGTTTCTGCTATTCAGAACTCGCTTCTGCGGTTTCCCTTCCATTGACGTCCATCTGGTTCTCGGGCGGGAAGTTACCCTTATCAGGTTTCTGTCCCCAGATATCGAACTTCTACCTTTCAATCTTCTTTTTACCCGAGGACTGCGAAATTGTGGGACACTCTTCCCACTGTCCCCCTTGCAGTATATCGTTAAGTATGAGGTTTACCCGTGTTGCTGCAAATCCCTTCGTGTGCAACGAAAAAAAAGCCAATTGACTTCTCCGTGAGAATATATCCGCTCTATGAGTGAATTCACGAATCAACGTGGGAGTACAGCGCAAAGAGGCACCACTCCCAGCACCACCAGGATTTTTTCTCTCATCATTGTCTTAGAGCGAAATACAGAGAAGCGAATTTTACTGATCGCTGCCAAACTCGCAATGCATATGCATTGCGGTTTGATGGACGGGTACTGCTAGGGTGTCCAGCCACTTTTTCTCTGAGGATGCAACTGTGCACAACGACGGGCTACGTGTAAAATAACAAGGTTCAGTTCAGTTTTACAACCATTACCCATGCACTTTCGTGCGCGGGTTTTGGTTGCTGTCTTTTGGTTGCCAATTTGGATACAATAACGAAATGAAGATTGGAATGTCGAAGCAAATTCAAGCGGAAGATGGGGAATACATATAGAGTGTGTTAGGGAAATAACGAGTGGATGCACGAGCGCCACTGTTTGCGACACCCAGCCATATCACTCAGTGTAGTGCATTTGAGGGTAGTGGTGATCGCCCACGTTTGTACGTTCGGCCCTAGGTTGTTAATGTTCGTTTCGCTGGTTCATGAATGCAGTAGGAATACTGTACTCGGTGGTAGGCAGCTTTGTTGTAATCCGGTTCAACACCACGCCTAACCTGACGGTATATTATATGGTTCGCCACTCCAAGTCCTGGGGCTTAGGTTGCCGGCTTCCATCACTGAACAGCAGGTCCTCGTGACTTTAAGGATTCTACCCGTCTGTTGTTCATCACACAGTGTCTAATAAAATAAATTGATCGCCTCAGTTTAAGAAGTGAAAATAAAACGGAAACCATGGAACTTGACGAGTAGCGTAGCTCGAAATTAGCTTAGATAAACATAAGGATCTCACTATCGCACAGATTTACAAGGGTGTAGAAGCTATTGTCAAAGGTTGGTAAAGCTGGTTCACTATTGCCAGGAAAAACTATGTGACCCGAATAGGATACAGTGAATGAACCAGACAGCATTCCGGTCACAAACACTCACCGCTTGATAGATGTCATCGTTGCGCGGAAAATCATTCGGTTTCCGTGGGAGCACATGGACGTGGACATGCTGCAGAATGAGAAAACGTATAGGAGTCACACACGGACATGTTGTGGACTGGATAGGTGAAAAAGTGAATGGCAAACAAGCACACTATAAGAGACCAATGGCTATTCACTGAGTGCATCAATTCATTTCCATTTCTTCCTTGGCCAATACGGGAACAGGATAAAAATAGATTGTCGGTGTTTGAACACTGTTGTCTACGTCGCATTACACGAGTCTGGTGGGGTAACCGGACGAGCAATGCTGTTAGGCGTAGAGTTTTAGATAATCGCGGGCGTCCACGGGAGCAAGTATTCGACCTCCATAGATTACGTTGGCTGAGACATGTGTTACACATGTCACCATATAGGGTGCCACTGCGAGCGATATTTGCCGAGGCAGGTAGCGGTTGGAAAAACGTTAAGGGTGGTCAAGCTAAGACCTGGCATGAGGGTATGAAAACCTTAACCAGGAGACTAGGTCACATAGGCCCCGTTAGGCTCCATGGCTGGGAACCCAAAGATCATGGTCACCGATGATTAGAGACACTGAGTGATATGGCTGTATGTCGCAAACAGTGGCGCTCAAGCATCTACTTATTATTCTTGTAACTTCAGTCTATATGAATTCACTAGTTTTCGCTTCAACTCGATCTCAATGTTCTAATCTTCATTCTGCTATTTTATCCAAATTGACAACCAAAAGACAGCAACCAAAACCGGCGCACGAAAGTGCATGAATAATGGTTGTAAGAACTGAACTGAAATTCTATTTCTTCGATTTGGGCGACTATCAGTCGCGGTCGACGAGGGCACGTTGACGTCTTAGTATCTGCATCTATTTTTCACTTTCAGTTCCGTTTTACAACCATCAATGATGCAATTTTGTGGGCCGGTTTTGTTTGTTGTCGTATCTATTCTCTACTCCAACTACCACCTAAACGTGTCACGTTCGGGGATTGAAGCTACAAACATCTGATTCACATGTTTGATTCCCATAACGTGAGCAACACAAACTACCGACCATTTTCAAATACGTGGACATTCATAAACATACATCTTCCGAATCCGTCTTCGCAACGTTTGCATCATTGGTTTAATTTACACGTA